ATATATATATATATATATATATATATATATAATAATTTTTTCCTAAACAATATTGATTAATTGATTATTTATCTCCTAAGTTTAATTAAAGTAGAATTATTTTAAAAGTGTGCATCCATACTGGTAAGTTATATTTTGAAAGATGTTTTTTGAAGTAATTTGAAAGCAAAATGTTAATAATGTTTTAACGGGGACTGGAGTTAAATCATCACGAAGAATAATATTACAATTGTAAAAGTAAAAATTAAAACATGTAATCATTGTCATTGATCGGAAATTAGTTGACTTTTCAAGGGGAACAAACCAACTCCCATTCAATGATCAATAATTGATTAGAAATACGTAATATGAAAGTGTTTCGTCTTTACTCGAGTTATAATTAAAGCCAAACCGGCAATTCTAGTCAGGCCAAATATTTTCCGCGAATAGTTGTTACTCAAAGAACTGATTCTCATGAAGCATTTTAGTCAATTCAATTTGGAGTAAAAATCAATTACTGTAGAGAAATCTTGTAAAACTCGAGTAATCGTCCCCGACACTATCATCTTTATGTATTTGAGTTACTATATTATTTGTAGAAATTAAACATTGGAAATTGTCATTATGAAATCGAATCAAAGTAAAAGTTGAAATAAACATAGAAGATTATAAAAAAGATAAATAATGCAAACTTTGCAAAACAAATCAAAGAGACATAAAAATAATATAAAAATAAAATAGAAAATAATATAATAAGATCAGTGAATGTACATGAAGATATAAAGGCCAGAAAGGTATTAAGTAACTTACATTCTTTCTAGTGGGGGAGTTGGCAGTGTGTTCTCTTTCGTGTCTGACTCAGAAGTGTAGGGGTGTCCGAAAATTCTTAGCGGCAGTAGGGGCTTTGAATTATATCAGTCGGTAAGACTTGGGTGAGAATTTATGGTAGTGGGTGGGACTTGGAATTCTTGAGGGATGTATTTTGTGGAGTTCTTATCTGAGCGAGACCGTCTGTTAAGATTTTTTTAAAAATACTAGTGAATGGAAATTAATTAATTTCTGGCTAATTGTCGTGTCGCAATGATTAAGAATTTAAGAAAGGAAAAAGGCATTTTCGCTATCCAAGAGCTAGTAGACAGTCTAAAGGCAGGAAATAGGCCCATTTTTTTAGTAACAGTATATTAACAGTATATGTCTGAAGACAATTAGCTTTTTACAATATATACAATTGAGTAATTACACTATATACAAATCTTTCAACTGACAGTCATCCAACTTATACCGCCTTCTGAGGTTTAGGAATAAATTATCATATCCCTATCAGTTAAATGATTTAGAGGTGAGTATTTAACGCCTGCTCTTTTAAGGCAATGGTTGATAATTGAAAGGGAATTAGATTATTTTGAGAATTTTAATAAGGATCAAAATTTCGCGTTGTAAATCTATTGTATCTGTGCATATAGTTTTAATTCGTTGTATTTGATTAATTATAGTATTGTTAATTACTTTTTTGGATATGTTGGAGTTCCAATTTATTAATTTGTTAGTATTGAAATTGAAGTTTCTTGTTTTGTCAAAAAGTAAAATTTTTTGTAGTTCAATGATTTGAAGATCTAGAAAGTCTATGCTATTTTGTGAATTATTAGTTTTATTAAGTTTAAGACAATTCGGATCATTAACATTTTGCTTTCAAATTACTTCCAAACATCTTTCAAAATATAACTTACCAGTATGGATGCACACTTTTAAAATAATTCTACTTTAATTAAACTTAGGAGATAATATAATCAATTAATCAATACTGTTTAGGAAATAAATTATTATTAACTAACTTTGCAGCAATTGCGCAAGTAATATACTTGGTATTCGCACTAAATGGATTTAGTTCATACAACTTATATATATATATCATAAATAAAAGAAAAGGAAACTGTCGGAACACGGTAGATTCTTGATAGACCCATATGAAGAAGATTTTGATTGCGCAGTATGCTAGTAATGCTAACTGGTAATATCTAAAGAACTTGGCAGTCGAAGCAGTTTTAATTCCATTTTATTTCCAATTGATATTTGTGGCCACATCACTTTGGCACTCTAGTTATGCCTATCAAGACATTACATTTTTGATATAATTGAGAAGGAAAGCAAGCCAGCGAAATTACATCTTAGCAGAGTAGAGGGCAAAAGCTGAAGTGCGTAGTTATGAAAGATGGAAGCACGCGAAGAGAAAAGTTTTGGTTTACAGTGGCAGTTTCAGTTCTTAATTATTACGTCATCAGAGTTGCGCCGATCACAGAGTGATCCAGAAATGACGCAATGCAAAGAAGTTATTGCGATTTTAGAAAAGAGAGGAATTAATGTTTATCGTTTAATCTATAATTTTGATTCATAATTTTTATCTACATATTCCCCTCTTCAAAAGAAAAAGGCGTAGCGACAGAGAAGCCTTTTTAAAGAGAAAAAGTTAAAGCGCTAGCAAATAAAAAAGAAAAACATAAATCATAAATTGATTCTATAAAAGTATAATTTATAAATATCAATTTTTTAAAATAAATTTTTAATTTTTAAAGTCCTATTGAATTTTCAGCATTTCAGTCCAAAAGTCTTTTTGTTGGAAAGTTCACATAATCATAATTCTTCAGGGAAGGTTCTTGTTATTACAGAATATCACAAAAATAAACTTTTAGATAATCATTACTCATAATTAAATATAATGCACATAAATATTTATGATATTAATTTTCATATTGATAAATTATATTTTAATACCATATAATAATAATAGGAGTAAGCTTCAGAAATTATGGTTTCACCGTTATCATTCATTTACAATTCCTGTATTTTACCAAACTGGAAGCCTCGCAATACTTCTAAACAAACATATCCATCAATAGGGCTGTCCTCTTGAGCTAACCAGCGTGTTCTCTGCACTGATGGCCCAGGATGCCTAGGCAGTTGCTTGAAAAGGCCTCCGTTCCTTGCATAAGGTAACTGGCCTTTGCGAACTGCACTAATACATTCCATAATAAAAATATATAATAATAATAATATATAAAAAATTACACACACTCAGAAAATGAGAGCCTCCAACATTATCTTGCATGAAGAGCGTAAAAGGACAACTGTACAGAGGTAATTACAGGCCTCTGTTGAAGGAACCAGTACACCCTCATCATCATACTATACTTAACACACAATAAGCCATAAATTTTAACATGCATTTACCATAATTTCATATTACTTATCTGTACTAATTTCACTTATTTTAACAACATCTTTATTTTTAGAATAATTATAAATTCGTATCCAAAATTCTCAACCAAATTTCAAAAACATAAAAATTTATCTTAATATCCTTGCCTATGAATAATTTAAATAGCTTAAATATCGTTCGTAATTTTGCTCACACATAATTATGAAAAATTAGAAAAAAATGAACAAGAATTTCAGATTTTCTCAAAACAAATTGCAGAAAATTTTAACCAAAGTTGAAATGAAAAACTATAGAATCCGCAGCACATTAAATAATTTAGTTCCTGAGCTAGATCACACGATATATAAATTTTTGAGCTGTTGAAAAAGCGGAAGTGCAAATAATTTTCTGTCGCACATATTTGCAAACACTAACTCAGATCGATCTTGAACCCGCTGTAATGCTTAATTCCTAAACGGTAATTCACTGATGATTTCCTTTTCACTAGGCATTCGAACTTCTCAATTTATCGAGAGATTACTTTCAAGCTGTAACCACTACGCGTGATTATTTTTTGAAGCACTTGCAAAACACCACAGCAGAAGAATGATCTGTTATTTTTTTTTTAAACACTGAAAAAACAAACTTGATGATTCACTTCTTTCACATTATCTTGGATTTATCACAAAACGATCATTTGAAGAGCTGAATTAAATTTTCCATTGAGGTTTCAGGCTGAAGGAAACTATCCTACCGGCTTAATTGTCATAATAAAAGAAAAAGGAAACTGTCGGAACACTGTAGATTCTTGATTAGACCCATATTGAAGAAGATTTTGATTGCGCAGTATGCTAGTAATGCTAACTTGGTAATATCTAAAGAACTTGGCAGTCGAAGCAGTTTTAATTCCATTTTTATTTCCAATTGATATTTGTGGCCACAATCACTTTGGCACTCTAGTTATGCCTATTCAAGAACATTACATTTTTGATATAATTGAGAAGGAAAGCAAGCCAACGAAATTACATCTTAGCAGAGTAGAGGGCAAAAGCTGAAGTGCGTGGTTATGAAAGATGGAAGCACGCGAAGAGAAAAGTTTTGGTTTACAGTGGCAGTTTCAGTTCTTAATTATTACGTCATCAGAGTTGCGCCGATCACAGAGTGATCCAGAAATGACGCAATGCAAAGAAGTTATTGCGATTTTAGAATAGAGAGGAAGAATTAATGTTTATAGTTTAATCTATAATTTTGATTCATATATATTTTTATCTTACATATATATATATAAAGACATTCCTTTCAATGATTACTACATTTCACAGGATTAAACTGTACGGAATTAAAGCATTCTTTCCATGTATCTTTGTACAACATCAATAATGTCCAACCAACTAGCAAGTGAATAATCTTGAGTTCGATTCTTTACGATAGTAGAGTTGATTTTTAAAGATTCCTTGCCCTTAAAACCTAAGGATTCTGAGAGGGTGCCTGAAGGGAGCCTTATGATTTTAATTTGGCCAATTCTATCCCTTCGCTTAGTCACTTCCTAAACGGATAAGGACATAATAAATTAAAGGTATTTGTACCATCATGTGCTTTTTGAATGTAGTTGTCAGCACATTCCTGTGGATGTAATGATTAACAAGAAACTGAAGTTTCAGCATCGATTTCCAACGAGCGCACGGTTACTTTTCCAAGCCCTAAGGTCACAAGAAACGTAACTCGGCCAGACGTATGACAGTGTATATCGCGTGTGCTTGACAAACCGCCCTATCTCGGTATTGTAATAAACAATTATAGTTTGATTGAAAGTGATAAATATTCTTACTTGGTGCACAAAGACATCAGGTCCGCCGTCCATGGGTGTGATGAAACCCCAACCTTTGGCCACATTGAACCATTTGCATTTGCCCCTCCTGCGTGATGCCGATGCCCCTTCCGACGATCCTCCTGGAAATGAAGCAAAATTGTCATCTCTGATATCAGCTTAAGAATAACAAACAAAACAAAAAATGTTCTACAGAGGCAACTTGTGCATATTACTTGACTTTCATTTAAATTATTTTAAAAATTAAATATTCTCGAGAAATTTTCTTGGAAAAGAGTTTATTAAATTCGTTTGCTATATGATAAAAAAAACTGCGTTATAAATTTTTATTCTATTCATTCCTTTGCTTATTTCCTATTTTAAAATTAAATATACCAATGGTTATTATCATCTAAATATCAAACCTTCGAACATAGGTTAAAGATGTTAGCAAGAAAATATTAAGGATGGAATATTCGGATCCTCGAATCCAATATCTTGAAAATGAATTCAGATTCGGAATCTCGAATATTCGTTCTTCCCGCCCTCACCTCGTCAAACGAATGTTTTTAATCTTATTCCCCCCCAAAAAAAACATTAAATATTTTAACTCAAAGCTTGGAAAATAGTACCTTTTTCATTAAAATAACGCTAATTTTACTAGACCTGGATCATCATTGTTTCCTTGTGGAGGTCTTGACTATCTTACTCTTAAGTTTTGAAGGGAATTTGGCATTTCATGTTTAATTTTATGTTAATTCCTGAAATAATCCACTCCTCTGTATACTTGCTTTGATTTTAAAAGATTCTGCGAAAACGTAAAAAATTTGAACTATTATTTTAATATATTTTGTCTATGTGTGTAATGAAACCCTTTAGCCACAATGAAAATTGTAACATTTAAAAAATATATCGGTGGAAAAGTTGAATTCTTCATAGATTATGTAAAATACACTTCGTCCGCTTTAAAAACAAGAATGATAAAAAATATTAATTGGGATGTATTCTACCTTTTTCTAAAAATAATATATTTAAACAGATGGGAAACCATTGGTTCTTCCTTTCGCTTGGAAATAGTTTCCGTGTGTAAGGTATGATGCGCAGATAACAGGGGCGGATGATGACGCACATTTAAATACTTTAAAAAATTTCTTCGAGAAATGTAAAACTCATAACTGAAATTAAATTTAGAGAAAAGTAATTTTTTTTAGGATTAAAAAATATCAGCGACTGCAAAAGCTTCAAGGCGCGAAAATGTCCGAGAAATTCAAAGCCTTTTGAGATAAATTAATTTTTATGGAAAATTTTGCCCTAAATTAGCGACAATCGCAAATTCCTTATACCAATTAACTAAGAAAAACTCAAACGGGGTTTGGTCGAAGGTTTGCCAGAAGGCTTTTCTAAACATTAAAAAAGAATTGTGTTCACAAAAAGTTTTGATGCATTATAATCCAAAATTGCCCTCAACATTGGCAACAGATGCATCATCAGTAGGGTTAGGTGCGGTACTTTCTCACAAACTTCCTGATGGAATAGAAAGACCAATTGCATATGCTTCAAGAACACTGACTGAAACAGAGAAGAAGTATTCTCAAAGCGATAAAGAAGCTTTGTCAATCATTTGGGGAATAAAAAATGTTTTCTGTATTTGAAAGGCAGGAAATTTACATTAATTACAGATCATAAACCTCTTGTTGCAATTTTCGAATCTAAGAAAGGTATGCCGGTTTTTGCAGGAAAAAGACTTCTACATTACGCTTTGGCTTTACAGCCATTCCAATTCGATATTATTTACCGTAAAACAAACGAGCATGGTAATGCTGACTTTTTGTCACGATTGCCGACAAACTCAGAGCAACTGTCTGTTCAGGATGATGTAACTATTTTTCAATTACAGCAGATTGAAACTCTTCCAATCACGGCCAGAGATTTGACTAAAGAAACTGAAATTGATGCAGAACTCAGTCCTCTGCTAAGAATACTACAAAGCGGCCGTAAATTGAAAGGAAGGGAGATGGAGTATAGTCTCCAAGGTGTCTGTATAATGTATGGTCAACGCGTTTGTATTCCGAAACGATACCGTGAGAAGGTTTTGAAAGAGTTGCACCACGGACACTTTGTAGAGTCATTAGGTTAATTGGAAGCAGAAAAGATGAAACACATGCAACCGCCTTCGCCGGGAATCGAACCACGGACCTCTGGAATATCGGCCCAGCGTGCTACCGTTACACCACGAAGGCACGCTAGGGAAGTGGGAGAAATACCTTATATACTTCCCCTTTTTAAAGGGCGACTCGGGTTTTATGGGACCTAGTCGCCAAATCCTGGGTGCGGAGAATCATCATCCACAACCCTTTTAGTTCTGGCGCCACTTGTAGAGTCATTAGGTTAATTGGAAGCAGAAAAGTTGTAAAATATGCAACCGCCTTCGCCGGGAATCGAACCACGGACTTCTGTAATACCGGCCCAGCGTGCTACCGTTACACCACGAAGGAACGCTAGGGAAGTGGGAGAAATACCTTATAACTTAGGGACTGTAAAGATGAAAGTAATTGCTAGATCTTACGTATTTTGGAATGGTATAGATAAGGATATCAAAAATACTTCCCAAAACTGTTCTGAATGTGCAAAACATAAAATAGATCCTCCTAAGGTAAAAGTTCATCATTGGGAATACCCGAGCGCTCCAATGGAACGTGTTCACATCGATTATACAAGGCCTATTTTTGAGCATATGTTTTTGATAATCGTCGATGCTCATTCAAAATGGCTAGAAGCCTATCCAATGAAATCAAGCTCGACTTTCAAAACGATAGAATATTCGAAAAGGAACCTACGAGTTTGCAGACTGAAGATTTAGAGTAATAAGAAAAGGACTGGAATGCGAGTAGCTGTAATTATGAAATAGCTGTAGATATAAGTGTATATGCGAGTGATGATATATTTTGCATATATAATAAAAGTAGTATGTAGTTTAAATTAGTGTATCTTATGAAATAATTACCCACTAAAAGGATACATGACATTTTCGTCAAACTAATAAAAAATTCCAATTTGGTTCGATTTGGAGTGAGTCGATGAAGGATATAAATCATCGATACAGTGCTTTGAGGTGAAAGCAATTTTTTTTTTGTATTTAGATTAGCTTATATTTAAAACATGTCTTTAATTTATAAATTGAAGGAGAAGGAATTTAAACTCGGTGCTGAGGAATTAACCAGGAGACGCGAAAATTATTGATCTAAGAGAGAATCTATTAGAGAACAGTAATGTGTCCAAAACTGATCTTAAAAAAAAAATATAGTACACATACAGTCTATGGCTGATAACACAATGTGGTAAACAAATTTTTATTTATTTATTCAAAATTTGATTTAAAGTTTTTAGTCCAAAGGGATTCAAATCCCGAAGGACTATTAGTTTCGTTTTGGCATTTTGCGTCGGACGGATAAATGTCGGTTCACTTTTCAAACTGTTGCCATAAAATGTTAGAGTCCTGCATTATTAAATAATGAAAATCTGCGTAAATGTATGCATATTTCTCACATTGTCATAAAATAACGGTACATAGAGTCATCGAATTTTGAATAACGTAATCCTCCAACGAATATGAGCATGTGGAAGACCAAATTTGAAATTTGAAATTTGTTTTATGATCGATTTCCTATTTTTTAAAACTTTGACGAATTTTTGATTAACAAACTCAAGGATTTCAAAGCGAGCAATGGCAACGTTGTGCAGAAAAAACATTTTATCTTCAGCGCGTGAGTCTCTGTATCGGAAATTCTAAAGATATGCTCGTTTTAAAACTATTTTGCGATATTGCTGTTGCACTGGATCTTATGGTTTAAGTGCGGGGAACATGATATTTAATAAAGAAAGGTAACACACAAAATGTTAAAAAACGCCCCTTTGGACGTAATTTAAAATCTGAAACATTTCACATTTTTTTTTTTTTTTAATTTAATGTTAAAATGATTTTCTGCGCATATCTTCGTTTAACTGAAAATATCAGTATTTTACTGTTTCCATTATCAAACAGAGCAGGGAAAAAAATCTTAAGTGAATTTCATTTGAGATTTTAACGTAAATTCTGATTTTCTGACAAAATCGCAGGCTTTTTTTTTTTTTTTTTTTTTTTTTTTAAACCATTTAATGTTAGCAAATTTACTTCCAACAGTTGATGAAAATCGTTTTATTTTTCAGTTGAATAATTTGATTAATAATGTGTCACTGCAGCTAAGAAAATAAACATAAAAATATAAATATTTAAAAAAATAAAACAAGCTTTTACTTAAAGATCACAAAATAATTAATGAACTAAACGTAGAAAAGTAGTTTATCTTACGATTTATCTTAATTTACCATACAATTTTATATCACGAATAACAAAAGCTTGGGTGGTTAAATAATGAAATCTAATAACCGACTTGCATTGTCAAAAGCATAAACCGTTAACTTATGAATTTATCAAGGGCAAACTATGGGTTTATTGTTCGTGATATAAAATTACAGATGAATTTTTTACAGGTAATTATTTAATATCTTGCTCCCATGCAACTAAATGATAAATTATTTTTCTACTTTTAGCTAATTAATTATTTTATGAATTTTAAATAAAAGCTTATTTTATAAAAACTTTTATTATTATTATCATTATTATGACTTGTGTATCTTAAACGATCATACACTGAAGTTTATTGCATAACAGAGTGTAATTAATAATTTAATTTGAAATTAGGAGCAAAAAATTTAAATTTAAGCCTTATTTTTAAGAGAACAGCGATTCAAAATAACATAAAAATTATCAACAAAAATATTTCAGGAAATTTGATATATAAATATTCAGTCTGAAGAATTTTTTATTATTTTTCAGGGGTTTGTTTATTTATCTTACATCGAACTTCTAGCACATGTTTGATGTTTGTAAAAGATCGTCTTAAATTTTAACTCACGTTCTAACTTCCAAAACTTCCTCACACGCGGAGTTGGATTTCTTATTCTGCTTTCATTTTCAGAGAAGGACTTGGAGCCGCAAATCAGAGAGTAAGACATTTTTATTTTGGTGTCAAGACAGATTTTTTTTTAAAGTCGATTTTATCCAGCTCTGGTTTAAACTTCCAATGTTGGCTTGTATGATT